TCTCTACGTGCCTTTTCCGTCAAAGACACACAGGACAAATCCGACCAAAAAAACCCTGACAATATGGATCAAGGACACCGGGGGATTTATATTCCACAAATCCAGCCTTTTTTGTTTTTATTATTTCTGTTCAAATTCCACCCCCTTCCTTCCCCTTTGCCCCCTCCCCCCCCCAACCCTCTTGGACTTTGTAACAAGAAAAGAAGAAGAAGAAGAAGAAAGCAGCTTGCCTGAAAACCTCGTTAATGTGGAGCTCTTAAACGGTTGATTAATTTTAGAAAAATTTACGATGCGCTCTTGCTTCTCTTTTAAGCTCCAGTCTTCTACACCCAAAGCAAGTTAACTTTAAAGGCCCCCTCGTGTGCCCGCTTGCCCCTTCTTCCCTGGCACCCCATTTGTAGATGCAAACATACCGATGAAACATAAATACAGTGACAGAACAGGGAAACAACTGCTCTGACGGGTGGCTAAAATGGTTCAATTCAATTCCCTTTAGCACAGCCAAGAAATCACAGCCTGCAAAACTCCCAACTTCCAGCAATTTAACTTTTCATTTAAAAAAAAATCCACTACAAATTGGTCAATTTAAAAAAATAATGTAGACATTATTTTATTTTAAGAGACAAGTCTTCCCAAGTTCGATCTGTTCACTTCACAGAAGCCCCCTGATGCACAGCTGCATTCGAAACCTCAGAGTTCTTCCAAAGCCACCTTTAAGCCAGCTGCACTTCACCAAGGGGAAAGAACGGAACCTAATGAAATTTAATATATACATTTTTAAGTGTGTCCTGATCTATACTTTAATATTTCAGAAATCTCCCAAGCTCCCTCCTGCCCGGTATTTGCTTTTATTCTTTGTCTCCCTCTGCTAGAGTCTGTTTTTCTGATATAGACATCAGAAGGTTAAGGGCTCAATTATCAACACTGCTGAAACCTCAGCCTTACAATACTTAGGGGCTTCTCTTCTGCTCTTTAGAAACTAAATAGCAAAATCTCTTCTTCTTCATGTTTTTTATTGTTATTATTGTCTAATGCCTGTAGGTTCCGATCGCTGAACTTAGAAACCTCTCTGGAGGGTAGGGATGAGGGAGATATGGATTTGGAAAGAAAGAATAATATAGAATTCTAAAGGTGCCTACTTCAAGTGAACCTGAGGAGACCATGTTTCTGAACCCCAAAATAGCATCCACACAAAATATGATCCTAGTGGTTCTCATTAACATAAGTCAGTAAAAAAAAATTGGGAGGAAGTGACTCTTTGATTAGTGTTACAACCCAGAATGGAAACAGATTTTAAAAGTTAAAGTAGCAGTGTTGTGGAATATGGAATCATTACTAGTAAAGCAGTATACTTGATTTGATCAAAAGGGATTTGTTTTTATTTTTTAAATATATGATGCACACAAAAGCTTTGGTTTATGGAATCGAGCAGTGCTTTCATCTCCTCAGGAATTTATATAGATGGACAGTATCCTTCCAAAAATGAAATTAACAAAAACAAAACAAGGGTGAAGGGCGGTGCGCAGGAAATCACCATTTCGGTAAATCACAATCCCTGAGTTGGATAGATAGCAGATTCTGGTTTAATAGGAAGAACGAGAATTGGAAAAGGTAAGGATCACCCTTGCACCTGAAATAAACTATTTGCAATAGTTGTAAGATAAGTCTCAAGTTTATGTGGACTTACATTTTTTCCCCCAAAAGGTTGTTTTTCCAAATAGCTTCACTGTTTTGGATGGAGTAAATAAATATATATCTATACATCTATAAAATCAAGTCATTAATTCTTTCCTGGAAATAGTTTGAATTACAATCTGTCAGATCCAGATGAGTTGGCTTTTTTGGTCATTGACTCCCTCCTACACACACACACACACACACACACACACTGATTTCCTCATGGAGAAATAACCCCCTTCCCTCCCCAAGCCACCTTCTTCTGTTGTACAACTACCAACTGAACTCAAGCTTTCAATAGGTTTTCCCTGCACCAGGGCTTTGCTCTGAAACTGCAAGAATGACAACGTCATGTGTGGGGAAAGCTGACACTTACAGCTTTTAAAAAGAAACGGGAAAAAATAAGCTGTTGACTTCTTGGTTAAAGTATTCTCTTGTTCTAACTCATGTTCTTATGTCACTGGGCTAAAAAAAAAAGAAAAAAGAGGAGAGAGAGATATGACTTTCCTTGAATGATCTGTTTAACCTAAGCCAGAGGAAAAAAAAAGAAGTCATTAATTACTTATGTGAGCTATTGCTTCTGAAAGACAATAAACCTGCCTGGTCGCCATGGATATGACATATTTGCTCTGAAAACAACACAATAATTAGCAAAGGGGAAAGATACAAGGAGAATATGCAAACTCCTGAGTTTAAAGCCATAGTGTTTCCTTCCCCCCTCCCCCTTTTACTTGTCAGAGTCAATTCTGTTTGCAATTCAAATCAAACAAATAAACAAAAGGTTTACAAAAATATATTTTTTTAAAAAGAAAAACTGATCGACTGCACTGATGAGCCAAAAGAAAGATAATAATGAGAAGCAATTACAAACCAAACAACTGCAGAGAAAATAATCTTATATGATGAAATTAAACATATATTTAGGGTTGTTTTGGTTCGTTATTATTTGCATTTTTTTAAAAAGAAAAATGCAGAAGTGTAGTGAAAGAAAAAAGGAAAGTATTTTAGGAGACATGAAGCGTTTTGAGGACGCGGGTAGGAAAAAATTGGGGAGTTCACTTGGATATTAAAAATGCATCATATGGGTCATTATTTTCTTTTTAAACCTACAACTTTACCCCCAGGAAGATGAGCAGGAAACACAATAGCTTTGTACCACGTTTGTCAGCTTGATAAATACACGAGCTCATGGTGAGTTCACAATTTTTAAGTATGTCAGAAATGTAAGACACTCTCCCTTTCCTCCACGGATAATGAAAAGAGGGGATCTTTTCTTAATTAAAAGAATAAAAACTGAATAAACTACAGAGATTCTCCTTTAAAAACTGGATAAATGTTACAGTGAAAATGCATTTTATATTTCGCTCTCATTAAGCTGAAACAAAGACTATTAAAACCTTCTCTAATGCAATAGCCTTCTGGAGTCTGACCTTCTACATTTAGAAAACAAGTAATAAATATACCTTAACATGCACTTTATCTGGAGAGATATTTGACTTTGAACTTATTTTAACATTTAAAAGGCTTGGGAAATATAAGAACAATATAGTTGCTACAAGTTTTTTGTTTTTATTGCTAAAATAAATCTCTTAGAATAAAATGAGCAGATTAAGGAAACATCACCCTGATAACACTTTCCCCCCCTTTTTATATTTTTTAAACAATAGTTTTTAGCTGGACTCTTTGATCTTGAAAGGGTTCTTCTATCTGGTCTGATGAGGGGGGAAAATGATCTGTTTTAAATGATGATGCAACTAAAGGATCAAAGCCCTGACTTTCTGCTTGTCATAATAAGCTCTGTCTTGCACAAAGCTTCAACTTCAGACTTTTTAATATATAAAATATAAAGGAGGCCAAAAGAGCCACTGAAAAGGTAAAGTCTGCAAACAAAAGGGGACACTGCCCCTTTAAACGTTTTAGTGCATATGGAGTTTGATTTCTGAAAGAGATCAGTTTAACATCTCCATAGAAACCAGCAACAGATTATCATCAACAGAATAAATAACTAGTCTAATAAATTAAACAGGAGGCATAAGATCTGGAAACTTGATTACTGAAGTTCAACAATATTCCCCCATAAACTCTTTCTAACTGCTTCTACAGTAGCTAACAAGGTAGCAACAAAGTATAAATAAGAAAGTGGGTGTAGGAAGAGAGGCAGGGAAACCACTGGGAAGCAGAAGTCCAAAGCCCTGGGAAGAGATTATTTCACCTTAAAAGTTATTACAGTAACAACAGAAATAAAAACGTCTAGGTAATTTGGGGGAGGAGAGGAGAGGAGAGAAAACCATTTTCAAAGGGAAAAGGTTGTAGTGGCTGCATATGCAGTTAAGGGTGGATGAAGAGGGCACATGAAATTTATGCGTGAAGTACATCAAAAGTTTCACCATTCTCCCAACCCCAAAAAAAAAAAAAAAAAAAACTAGGCAGATGGATCTAACTCAGAGTGATTCAGAGCAATCCTCAGACATAACCCATCCAGAAAGTTTTCCAGACAAATTGCTCAGAAGGTGCAGTGAGACCGCCTCCAGGCTGGGATCAGAAAGCCCCTTCCAATCTCATCCTTATCCCAAATTTCATCACCCTTTACCAAATGTGTCAACTTTCCCAATGGCTCTTCCTCTCTGTCTCCTGCCACCCCAACCGGAAAACAAAAAGAAGGAACGACTCTCTCTCCACTACTCCAAGAAGGTTGTCATGGTACATACACACTACTTATCTCCCATGAAATCAACACCAAGTTACTGGTCAATGTCCCCACTCCCAGACTATGCTGGTTCACTTCTTCCCACCCCAGCTAGGGAGGTACAAATCTAAAGGACTTTCTGGATTTATAGACCCCCAAGAACAAGTGCACCTAATTCTCACTTTCCAATTTCCTGGGGAGTCTGAGAAAGCATGACCCCGTGCCAGAGACAACCCTTATGGGCTCATCACTGGCTGGGGAGTCATTAAAGATTTGGGGAGGCAGATCAGAAACAGGCAGTGTCCTGGGATATTAACCCTTCCCTAGCCAGGGGACAGGCACACCCCTGCCCCGCTAGGTTTCCAAGGCTTTTTATTTCTCCTTTTTTGTCAATGCCCCAAAGTGTCTTTTCCTGGCAGGCCCCAGTTTGATTGACGGGTCAGACACCTGTTCCCTTGTACTGGGAGTCTCCAAACATGGAGAGTAGCATTCACCAAAACCCTACTGATCCCAGAGCCCGCCTCCCTCCCCACAGCGCCCTCAACCCTGCTCTCCTCACTCCACCCCTATGCTGATATCTACCCCCACCCCGCAAAATCCAAGCAACCCCCCCAGTCCAACAATACAGCCCCCTTACCCCTATAGCGCCCCTCTGTGCGCCCCCTGCCCGGCGCTGCCTGAGCCTCGCCCGGCCGCGGCAGCGGATTCGAAGAGAGGAAAGAAAATGAAAAGAAAACGGGGGAAAAAAAACTTCCTGGCTCAGGATGGCAAATCAGCTGCGCATTCTGCAAATGCCACCGGGTAAAAATAACCTGCGGCTTCGCCCGGGGGCCGGGCACCGACTCCCCCAAACGCGCACCGAGCCCGGGGGCCGGGCACACCGGCTCCCCCACACTCGCGCGCCGAGTCGGGAACGCAGCGCAGCTCTCCAGGGAGCGCACGGAGGGGGCCCGGGCACCTCCCCGTCCCCGAGCGCACGGCTCCCAGCCCTGCTCCATCTCCGCTCCGGGACCCGAGCGTCCCGGAACCAGCGGGGGGAAGCGCCGCTCGCCGGCCTCCAACCCGGCCGCAGCACTTTGGAGAAACTTCCCTGGCACCGATCGCCTGCCGCCTCCGCCCGGGGACCCCCAGCCTGTCTCCGCGGCCCGCCGGGGTCCCCAGCCTCACGCCACACCTCGGCGCTTTCCCGTCGCTTCTCGCCCAAGTTTCTGTTCGCAAAAAGCGGGGGGGGGGGGGGTATCGCCGCTGCGCTTCCCTTTCCCCCAGCAGCTGCGCCCCACGGGACCCCCTCGCTCAGTCACTGGGGACCCGGGGTACCTGCGCCCCAGGCAGGGAGCGGGGCAGGGAGGCGGAGGGGGTCCCACGCCTCTCCCAGCCCTTTCCCCTCCCCCATTTCCACGGCGATTTTTAAAAGTCCTGGAAATTGTCCGGCACAACCGGCCTCCCCCAACAACAACAACAACTCAGCTCCGGAGCCGGCACCGCTCTACCTCCCCCGGGCCCCCTCCACCCCCAGCCGAGCGACGGGAGCACAGGCGCCCTCTCCCCCCCCCCCCTAGCGTGAGAGTCCTGGACCCCGCAGCCCCCTCCCCTGGTTCACTCCCCGGGGAGGCAGCGCGCTGCACCCCCTCACTCCGCAAACAGCCGCCCAAAGTGCCCGGGCCGGAGGAGCGAGTGCAACCCCTTCGCAGAGGGAGCGCACCGGAGCCCCAAGCAGCCTGCAGTGCCCTCCACCCCCGCTTTCAGAGCGCTGCCCCCCCCCCCGCGTGCAATAACCCCCTCCAACCCCTCCCCCCGCCCAGAGCAATGCCCACCTGCCGCTGCCATGTGCCCCCCCCGCCTCCCTTCCCTGCCAGGGCCATGCCCCTGACTGCGCCCCGACCCCCTGCCCCGCAGAGTTGGGTGCCGGCTGAGGCAGGGGCTGGAGGGCGGGGTGGTGGTCCCGGGGGGCAGGGGCTGGGGCAGGGCAGAGCAGACAGGCTTACCTGCACTTGGGGCGGCTTTGGGTGACTTTCCAAGTCAAGGGAAATGTGTGTGTGTTTGGGATGGAGTCTGCAGCGCGCATGCGCCATCAAACTTGCCCTGATCCCGGATTTTTTTTTCCTCCTCTCTCTCCCCTTCGCTTTGATTATTGAATTTTCCTATTTCTAACAGGGGGGCGGGCGGCGCGCAAAACCCGGACTGGATCCCGGCCACCCTCTGTCCCGGGCTGGTGAGGGGAGGGACGGAGAGGGGAAGGGGGGGGGAGCGACAGAGGGAGCCGAGCATGGAATGGACTCGGCTCCAAGCAAGCAGGGCACCCAGACAAGGGAGGGGCACCAGTAAAACCCGGACTGGATCCCGCTGCCCTGGCAAGAAAAAGAGAGGGGTTGTCCCCACTTCCCATTCAACAAGGGCAACTCCGCCTTCTCCAGTCACCGGGGCACTTCCTTGCCCTGCCCCTGTCACAAGCGGATCCCTCAGCCCACTGAGTGCTTGCTCCTGGAAATCTCTAAACTCCCCAACTTTAGGCAACTTGCTGAAAGTTGTATGAAAGAACCTAGTTTTTGCAGCCTGGTGAACTCTGCCATCCTAGTTTCCTTGGGCTACATTTAGCTGAGATCCTTCCTTTCTCTATGGGATGGTCTATTCCTTTTAAGTGACAAAGGAAGGGGGCTGCTTATATCCTTAACTTGGATTTCATTAGCAAACCACTCTGAGTTTATTATAGTTTATGGCCCCAATCCTGCAAGTATGTATGCAGATGAGTAACTCTGCACCCATGGGCCCCAATCCTGTAATACACACCATGCCAGCAGGCCCCTGCACTTGGGAACAGCCTTTAGCGGGCTCTGCCCAGGTACACAGGTCTGCTCTGCTTTGCAGGATCAGCATGATAAATTATCCCACCAGGGGAGTACTCACATGCCTAAAATTACTCCTATTTATATGTATATATGCATGCAGGAGCAGGTCCATAGTTTACACTCTAATAAACTCCTTTGATTTTTAGTTCTAGAGTTAGCTTATATTTTATTAAACCAGTTAATATATAATTTATTTATATTTAATGGGCGCAATCCTGCAAAGCAAACCACACAGAGCCCCTCTATCCATGTGGATCACTCTACAGGGATTGGGGCCTTCATTGTTAGCTCTGTATTTAAGGGCCCAATCCTGCAGATATTTACCAACACAAATAACTGCTCTCATGCACTCACTGGGACTATGTGGGATAGTAAAATTACACCCGTGTCTTAAGTGTTTGCAGGAATGAGCCGTGTGTGTAACTATAGATTTAGGCCCTAATCCTGCATGTTGTTCTCTGGAGGGGGACCCCTGCCTACAGACCCACTGAAGTCAATGGGTTTGTATGTGGGGGCCCATCCTATAAACATTGGGTAACTTTACTCATTCCGGCCATTCCACGCAATGAGTTCTAGGTCAGCACATCCATACAGAGCTCCTTGCAGGACTGTCTCATTGATTCCTTGTGCGCCTGTCTGTACTGACCTGTTGTCTCTGGTCTTACACTATAAGCTCTTTGGGGCAGGGACTGTCTTTTTGTTGTGTCTGTACAGCACCTAGCACAATGGGGTCCTGGTCCATGACTGGGGCTTCAATGTACTATCATAGTATAAATAAATAATAATTCAACCATCCCTCTGATTTCAGTGAGATGACTCATGCGAGTAAAAGTTACTTATGTGTATATGCGTTTGTAGAAGGGTTGCCAACTCTTGTGATTTTATTGTGATTCTTGAAATATTTTACATTTTCCTTTGACCCCCAGCTCCTGGAGCCATGTGATTCCATGAGAATATCAGCTTTTCTTTAAAAAAAAAAGTAAGTTTCTAGCTCTCGTGGTTGCCCAGAAAAGCTCATAAACATGGGTCAAGTGCTCCCTAAAGATGCAAAGCCAGAGGGCAAATGACAAAAATCCCAATTATTTTTAAAATCTTATGAATTTTGAGACAATCTCATGATTCTGGGGGGCCTGACTCATGAATATTGAACAGTTGAGGTCAGCAATACTGGTATGTTTAGTTAAATATTTAGGCCTTGATCTTGCAAAGACTTATACACATGGTGAACACTACGCACAGTGAGTAGATCCACTTCCGCAGGGTCTCAGTATGTAAAGAAAAGCATTTGCATATGTATTTACAGGATCAGGGCCTTTGTTTATTTAGCTATTGTTTATTATTAATTATGGTTTAGCTATCAATTTTTACTTGCCAACACTGGGAAAGCAATAAATAGAGATAGAAATAGGGATATGCTTTTAAACTCAATTGAAATAACACAAGTACTGAGAGAGATTGTTGGAGGGACTGAGTGGGAAATGTTTATAAGTTGCTTTAAAAAAACAAACCTTAAATTCATATGCTAGAGAGATGCTGTCAGGTTAGCGATCACATATTTCTAAAGTGCATGTCTTTAGCTATAACTGAAATAAAACAGTAGGGGCCCAGCTGTGGAACATCTATCTATCTATCTTAAGGCTTAATGTGAAGTACCTGCTTAAGTCCTGCTGATGGCATTGGGACTTTGTTTTAAAACTGTTGCCATCAACATATTTAACCATGGAAAACATTTCTACTGGCATTATGGTTTGGAAGAGCTTGCTTTTAGCAAGACTTAGGTCGCAATTGGATCTGCAGAGACAGCCCCTAAAACCCTCATGAAGCCCCACTGAAGTCAACAGGGCTCCATGGAGGTGGAAAGTTCTACCCACATGGATCCTACTGTAGAATCAGGATCTAAGTTTGGGAATGAATTTGGCCTGACAATGTCCCTTTAATGGGCCTGCTCCTGCAGAGACTTACGCATGCACTTAGCTTTACACACTGTAAGTATAGAGTCACAGGATGTCAAGTGAAGCAGGTGTACAAGACTTAGCAGAATCGGGCCTGCGCATGGCACTTTCTTTGAAGTCATTGAGAGTGTTGCGTGCAAGCCATCAACAGTACCGGAACCTAATCACATAGAAGTAAGCAGCCAGACAAAGGCCATGCTGGTGGACCCGGTCCTATGCAGACTTCAGTAGGGTTCCTTGCAGTTGTGGACCTCCTGCCTCACTGAGCAGTTTGGAAGGTCAGGGCCACAGTGCTCAGTTGAGGAAATACAAGGAAGGGGCTGACTGGGATTTGCCACACAGAATTACAATACATGAGCTCCTAGCATGGCTAAGTCATGTTTACTATTGGTTTGCATGAACAGATTTTTGTTTTCATTTCTTTTCTTCTTGAAAATTAAAAACAATAATGCCAACCCCACTCCTCCTGCCCTCAATAAATCATCTGTATCGTATTGCCAACTGCTAGTCTTCAAAAATCATGAGTCAGACCCTCCTCCAAATTGTAAGAGATTTAAAACTCAAGAGATTTTTTAAAATAACAATACGTTCTTGGAGAGGTTATTTGCCTCTTGGTTTTTGAGCCTTCAGGTTCACATTTTCAAGCTTTTGTCTGTAGTCCTGAAGGCTGTAGAGATACTTTTATTTTTAATGAAAGCTGAGATTCTCATACAATCACAGGATTCCAGGAGCTGGGGCTTAAAAAAAAATTTCATGACACTCAGGATAAAATTGTGAGAATTGGCAACACACTGATTATAAAATAAAATGAGGACCTTGCTAGTTATAATTCTGAAGTTTGCAGAAGGCTTCTTTAGCAACTCATTGGCCAAAAGTTTATGTCTAGTCCTTTATTTAGAGCCCAAGCTCTTCCCCATGTACACCCTTCTGGCCCTACCAAATTCTTGTGCTTGCAAGACTGGCATTCGTCATGTGTGTAGTTTACGTCTGGCAAGCCCAAAGAATAATGCACTATTGGAAAGTGCTTTGATATCACAGCAATGAGTTGCCCCACAATACACAGAGACAATTTCCCACAACGCAGTGTGCCAGAAGGCAGCACAGAGAACACCAGGTTAGAG